GCCGCCGCCCTTGCTCAGCATTAACGCAGAGCCCGCGCCCTCCTCGCCCCTGCTCCCTCCAACCCCCTGCGAGGCGAGGTTCAAACGACGCCTCAAGGTAGGGCGGCCAGCCAGGACCCGACGCGGGAGCTAGGCGGGAGGGAAGCGGCCTGTCCTGGGGGCTTCGGAAGGGAGGGAAGGAGGACCCGGCAGGGGGAAACGAAACTCCACGGCCGGCGGAGGGGAGCGGGAGGTATATTTGTGGGTGAAAGTGCAGCCCTGGGGACTAGGGGACTATGGGGAAATATCAGGTCCAGCGAGTGGATTATAAGATGATCTGTGTACAGATACCTGAGATACTCCTCGCACACTCTAGATGTGCATGCGCCATGCTGCTGGCGTGCAGAGAACTGTGGCCCGCACAGCCAGCACAGGGAAGGGAAGAACCTAGGTCTCCCTTGGCAGAAGAGTGTGAAGTGGGCGTCCAGTGTGAGTGGCTGGGCGCGCAGAACAGCGAGAACTGTGCAAATATATCAGCCTCTGTGCGGGACAATCCAGAAGGATGTCGGTACCATGCGGCGGTTTCACACCTAATGAATATTTTAAGATGTGAGCAGTGCAACTTGTTATGGAAACCGAATATTTGAGTCACAAAATGAGGTGCTTTCTACACAGAATATGAGCAAATGTGTGCACAGCATAATAGTGTTATGTACACAGAATCTTTCAGATGTGTGCAGGATAGCATGTTACACACACGTTACATGTTGCTCTGGGAGGTGTGCACCAAATAACGTATTCCAGACACAGGGTACTGCAGGCTCTGTGAGCATAAAACCTAGGGTACACGTACACTGTGTGTGCCCTGCAATGGGTTCCATGCAGGGTGCACTTAAAATTGTATGCAGTGCAGTGCCTGAGGGAACAGAACTCCATGGGAGACCCGTGGATGCAAAACGAATTCTGGCTACAGCACGTTGCAAGGACAGGGTCCACGTGGTGACCAGTACTCTCGCCACCCAAGCGTCAGGGCATGGCTGCACAGTAACGCATGGCTATGTGAAGGGAAGACTGTCCCAAGGTTTCCACACCACCTGACACGCAGTCGTAGTAAGAAGGCAATAATGCAGTGACCACACAGCGAACGGTTTCCGAGCCCTGGCTGTGCCCTGGCTAGGCACCTCAAGGTCATCATTAGCTCACAAAATCCCACCGTAATGCTGTCAGGAAGGTTCTCTTTTGATCTCAGGTCCCCGGGAAGTGAAATGACACTCCGACTTTATCTTTGTAGACATCAAGTGACATTTACCGGCTTTGT